ATAGGCTGCATTAATTTAAGCAGATAATTCCGTCGCCTGAGCGCTGATGGTAATCAAATATGGTATTACTGGTGCTGTGCAAAAGATAAAGGGGTTGAGAAACGTCCGTCATTTTGTTATGCACGTATCAGTTTTCAATCTGTAGAAACGCTTGTTATAATATAAATTTAGAAAATCAGTTGTATCGTTACTCTTGATCTGTGATCTTGACAGGAACTGAATGTACACGGAAAAGATAATAATTTTTCACGTCGTAAAAAACAATTCGCTTCCAACGCAGGGCGACAGACGGAGGCAGGAAAAGTAACATTTTACGTCTTTAAATTGAATAAAAATGTTGTTAAAGGGAACAGTGCTGGCAGAAGATGGCGTCACCGCTACTAACTGAAGTAGACGAAGCACGAGATGTCTAGCAGTTTGATGCCTTGATTCACTGGTAATGGTTAAGGTGGATTCGAGGATATTATCATTAAAACTCGTCGTTGTTGGAGCGTGACGCCATTCACAGGGACTTCGCCCCATATTACCGTTCAGCCCTCACTAGCTGTCTTTCGAGCCGTGGCATTTTTTTCTCTGTCTGTTTCTTTCAATGGGGTGAGCTCATATACTAGAACCAGATCTCCTTCTCGTTGACATGAAAGATGGAGTACTCTGGTTTGCTCTTCAAGTAAATGGTGTGTGTTTTGGGGGGCTATTAGTTTCCATTGGACTTTATCCAATTACGGTTCCTACAACAGATTCGTTTCTGAATGCTGTGTACTGAAATGGTCTAAATACACTGTGACCCAGCACAATTCACGAAAGAAGAAAGTTTAGATGAATTGGATAAATAACGTAGATTGGGGAGAAACAAGAAATACATAAAAATAATTCCTGGGAGATATGTAAAGTATCCTACTAAACACTGATATGAATTTGTGTTGTTGACAATTAAATTGTGGTAGGCTGTATTGTTAATATTCATTGCGGATGAATCTGTTTTATGAGGGTGTCGTATGGCAGATTTTGCGTTTCGTTATCAGTATCGTTGGACAGACGGTTGTGTAAAACTTGGTTTCTTTGCAGTTTCCCTCTTTTGTCTCGTTACTACAGCTGATTTTGCTTCGAAATGTCTGTTACTGGCATTAATCAACATAGAAAATGATACAGTGCATTCCGGAGTACACAGAATTTACGTTTTCACCCTCTCTATACTCTTATAAAGTAGTAACAATTTATTGGAGGGTCGTGTGTGTATATATAAGAATGTAATTCCTTTGTTTTCCCATATTCGTGGAACAGTCGTGTTTTATATTACACTGTGTTAGCCAGCTGTAATTAGAGAGCTTTTCTCTGTTTGAGGCAAATAAATAAATGTTAAAAATTGCGGCCCCCTTCTGTACTTTTTGCAGACGGTCTCAGTTGTGGAATTATACAAGATGTTCGGCCCCAAGTGCCCCAGCTTTAAAAAACGCAAGTTTCAAACGCACGTCAAATATCTGCTTGTGTAACGTTGTTTTGTACTTTAATTAAATGAAGTCGAAATGTGTTTCCATGAAATACGAATTTGTGTGTGCTTGTGGGAATGTGTGTAATGGATGGAAAAATTTTATCCTAAAGCTTGGTGTTAGTGAAAGTCAGCTGTTAATGATTTTCTTCATTCATGTTGTGGCCACGGGAACAGTCGTCCTTTTTTTTTAGGTAGGGCTTTAGTAGACATCGAGTTGGACATTCCATTTCTGTAAGTATTTCATTTTTGTAGGTTATGAAGTATAGATTTCCGCAGGGATCCACTTAAAGTCCTTTGTTTTTAATGTAGCCTATTAATTATTGATATATATATATATATATATATATATACATATACATACATATTTTTATCAGGATTACCTGGCTGATTTCATTGAAGCTTACAAGTAAGTAAAGTGTTCTGTGGGAGAGCTACCAACCCTCCGCACAACCACCGAACTTGGAGGTTCGAGATTTTCTGTCAGGGTTTACTCCCTTAGGTGTGTTGGCTTCACCATGCGTAAAGAGCTCCCCTTGCCCTATCGTTGTGGGACACACTTCGTCTGGCTTCTCAGCCAGGGTCTGTCCGGTTAGGGTGACTGCCAGAAGCCTACGCTCCCACCGGCATAGTCCCCAACTTCTTTGGAACACGCAATTTCACCATCCACCACGGCCACGAAAAGGAAGGTGTCCCATGGGGAATTAAGATATAAGAGAGGAACTAGGAGTATTTTTAATTAATGATAGAATAAAAAAAATATAAACAAGATTGGTTAGATCATTAGAAAGGATGAAAGGAGGACGAATACCGTAGCAGCCCTTAGGTATAGATCCAAAGGAGGAAGAGGTACTGGAAGACCACGACTAAGGTGGATTTTTTGGAAGCCGGAAGAAGCCATCGGCCTAATCCGTGAATTGGAGAACAAGAAGAAATGCAGTTTTATTCACAAGTCTTATTAAATTTGTCGTTTAGTGATGACTTTAAAATGTTTGCAAATGACGTTTGGCGGTCTGAAATTAGTTCTTTGCAAAATTTAAGAAGTGATAAGATTCTTAATGTTGATTAAAAAGTCTGTATCTTTCCTTATTCGTATTAGTATTGACTTTGTTTACAGATTACGTAATAACATAATTTCATGTTCCCGGTGTGATAAAATTCATGAAATTATTTTGGACTCTAACCTGTACTTTCAGTGTCACATTCGCTGTATAGTATTTCCTCAAGGCTTAAAGTTGTTGGGTTTGATTCGGTTCGCTAATATTACCTTTTCATTTTCTACTGTTGATGGCCTTATGTTTTGTATACAAACATTTTCGACCCAAATTAAAATATGCACCTGTTGCCTGGAATTCCATTACATGCAACAGATTCTTTTAAACTTGTATTAATTCAAAGAAAATTTGTTGCCTTATGCTATAAAAGACTTTTTTGTGGACATATCTTGAAACAATTACTAAGTTATTCTAGCTGTATTTAATCTGTCGACAATTTATTCCAGTCTTCGACACCTTAGATGCCGTATGCCGTATAAATGTTTTTAAGAAAATTAGTTCTTCCGTGTTTGATTCTGTCAGAGCACGTATACCTACTGGGACAGTTAGAGGTTAGTGTACATTTGTGGCTAGTCTTAATTTAAAGTTTAGTTCTTGAAGTGTCAGTGTTATTTGCAGGGACATGTGCAATTTTGCTAATTTATATAACATCACATATGGTATGATCGGTCAGTATCGACTATTTAAATTTAAAATTAAAATCAGTTATTTAGTGTAAAATTATTAACTTCTGAGAAGTCATGAGAGAAGACAGATGTAAGGTCATAAAACAGCAGTGAATGAAAAAAATTGACCTTTAGTGTTTCTGTAGAGTTAAAGTCAAAGTGGTATAATTGACATCAGACAAAATTTGGAGTAATTGCAGTTAAAATTAGGCGCAGTTTTGATAAAAATATTTCCCGCAAAGGAACTGCCAAGAGTCCTTGAGCTCCAACACGCAATTCTGTTTTACCAAATTTCACCCCTGCCGGCAGACTGGCTTCAGTTAGCTCCGAAATTCAGTATTTAAAAGTTAACGAGGATCTAGTGGTAATTTTATGATTGTATTGAAAAAGGTGATGTTTTTCTTAGTGAGAGATCAGGTTCTCAGCGGCGCCGTGTTACCTGATGGAATTAACTGACGATTCAGAGGCAGCAGGCACCCCTGGATCGTCCGTGAACTTTTACCTTACTACAGGGCGCAACAACCCAGAAGACATCGATATTGAGAATAGTCCTAGTTGTTTTCTCGTATTGAAGAATTGTTATTTATCGTGTAACCCCAAAGACCTGCTCATAACGTTTTGGGAATAGTGTGTTCCATAAAAGTTTCTTTTCGATTTCTACAATTACCATTTGGTAATTTTATATGTGATGTAAATTCAGTAACGTGAACCACAGAGGCGAGCATTCGTGCCTCATTTGTTGCAATTTCATTTAGCATTACAGGTAACCTACTCCGTTTATATGGCGATCCTGAAAACCCCATAAATCGTCATTATTCCATAAATTCAATGTTAAAAATGCAGTTTGCGTTCTTCAACTCATATTTTTCATTGGGGAATAAATGAAACTTGTCTTTGTTGGTTAAAAATGTAATAGTACTATATTATTATGAGCCGGGATAGCTCAGTCAGTATAGTGACTAGCTACGGGCTGGACGACCGGGGTTCGATCCCCGACGGGGGCAGAGGATTTTTCCTCTAGCCTCTGCGTCCAGACCGGCTCTGGGGCCCACTCAGCCTCCTCTACAATGGGTACCGGGGTCCTTTCCCGGGGGTAAAGCCGGCCGGGGCGTGATGCTGACCACTCACCCCCATCTAGTGCCGAGGTCAAGGAAGAGAGGAGCTATACCTCCACTCACCCCAAGCGCCTACATGGCGTATAGTGGGACAAACTTTACTTTACTTTTACTATATTACTACGCCTATGGAAGTAGTAGTTATGGAATACATAAACATGACATTGCATATTAAGTTTCTATATGAACATTATTTACATCCTGTACTTGTATGTACTGAGCTCAGATAATGCACTCATACAGTAGGACTCCTAATTGTTTTCCCCACGAAATAGGTCATAAAGATGCGCAGGGTATGGGATGATCTATGTGTATACGGGGATTAGGAGCCATGAGAAGTGGAAGCTGATAAGAATAGAGGACGTATTTAGGAAAACTATGAAATTAATTGGAGCTGCTATTTCAAAATTCTGTTTCTAATTACTTTTGTTACCAGCTTCTAGTATCGTGACATTTCTGTTGTCGTTGATAGAGTTCATTGTCTTATACTAATTCTAACAGTTCGTTTTGTGCTTGAATTTATTTTAGAAAGAAAAGCAAATCCTTTATATAAAATTGTATTATTCATGTATGACGATACTGTAGATTCCGGTTAATTGGGCCATCGGTTAATCGGGGCAGATCAAATCTTAAAGAACAAAAACAAAACCAGAAAATAACCAGAATTTGTTTCCCTTAGTTGGGACGCCGTGCCGTTTAATCGGGACAGTGAATGTTGGATGGCGCGCTTGTGGCGTGTGGCGTGGAGGAGTCAGTGAATCATCGCCGATTCACTCAGTAACGAACACGTGCTTATTCAGACAGTGTAGCAATAAGCAGCAAGACTTCGCTCGGTGTTGTTTTAAGCATCCAGGCTCGGAGATGCCAGAAACGACCGATAGTGAAAATGACGCCATTTTGGAAATGCAACACGTCAGAAACTACGAAGAGTTTGCATGCATCAACAACAGTTTTCAGTGTTACAAAGAAAATGAAGATTATCGGGACGCAATTGTTGAACAAATTGCAACAAAACACCAAAATACACCAGACGACCAGGAAGGTGATGAGGACGATGCACCTGAGCTTGAGCGAGTGACGACTAACCAGAATGCCAGGACATTCGTTGCTGGATTACGATCCTGCTTCATGCAGGAAGGCGATGAAGGCAGTTCCATATCTGCACCAGATACCTGCGCTGATTTTGTTCAGTTGCAGCCAATCAGGAGAACACGGCAGGGCACACTCGATAAATTCCTCCAACATCATTAACTGTTAAGAACTACATACATGCGTGTTTGATACATTAAATTGAAATTGTTTTTAACGTAAATATTTTTCTCTGATCTGTACCATTTGTTCCAGAATTCATTAACAGTATGTTGCTCAATAAATCATCTCAATAAACGGGAGTTTGCCTTTTGTTTTAAACATTTTCAACTTTTTACGTGGAACTTCGCATAATCCGGGCAGCCGCTTAATTGGGTCAAAGTTTTCTAGTCCCGATGTGTCCCAATTAACCACAATCCACTGTATATTCAGCTAGACTGATAAATATAGAAGTATTAATTAACGTTTTTATCTATATTTTACACATAAAAATGACATTATAAATTTTTATTTGAATTAATAATTATAATCTGCTGCCTACATACGTTATTAAATAAAAAGAGAAACTTTGTCGTGGTTATTTATCAGTAGATTTCATTGAATGGCATTCACTGACGCTTACATTGCGTTCGATCATGTTCACTAACTTAAATAATAAAACATTGTATTTCTGAAATTGAACGCTGTGACGTTCTACCTATGACGTGACACATAGCTCGGGACATTTTGTTTTATCTGAACGTGTAACAGATGTGCGCACTTTTTGTGCCTGAATATAATGCTACCATCAAATTCCCAAGGTACCGGCACATGTGTTCAAAACACATAAAACAAAAGTACCTGTAGCAGTGATTAATAATCGCACTTACTTATTCATTACAAATATGGAAGAGAAGGGGATATATATATTGTCACGCCATGGGAGTCATTTAAACGCACTCCAGTGGGAGTGAAGACAGTTTCCGGGGTGTAGTATATTCTCTTTGTGTGGTGAGTTTCTGATTCAAAAGTTTAATGTAACAAAGAGAGTATCGTGGTTCTAGGGTTCAAATGAAACGCGGAACCTGCTGAGTTTGAGGCACAGTAGAGGCCATCTAACAAAAGTGAGATATTTATAATGGAATTCTAACTAATCGGTCTAGTTTCTCGCTTTGATAACAATAAATTAGAATAGCAGAAATGAATTAGTCATGGGTTATATTTAAAATACGATTCATAGAAGTAGCCTCATTATAGCTGAAACAACTTTAACTTTCATGGATGAGAAATTTCATTCATACACCTAATAAGTTGTTAGGTACGTCTGCGAAATGAATGAGGTTGCAGTGGACTGTGCATATGGTTGGAATGTTTGACAGAAATGCATACATAATTTTGGTGGATAAACATAATGCAAGCCGGTTACATGTAAGACCTATAAGAAGATGGAATATTACCTCAAAATGGACCTGACGTACATTACATTTGGTGAGACTGTTGGAACTAGTTCAGTACCGGGTATTGGTTTTGATGGTAGCGGTGTTGAATCTTCGGGCTAGGATAGGACGGACTGTCAGAACCGAGTGTTTAGCACACCTAATTCGTATTCGGAAGGTATCAGGTTCATATCTTTAGCTCTGAAGATGCAAACAGTGTTTCTCTGAAACGTTAGTATCTGTCTGCCTACAAGTCCATACGACATTACAACACAGAAGACGAACATCGACAAACACACCAACCAGTACAGTGTCCTTGAGAAAGCATAATTTAAATAACATTCATTTCAACCTCATTTGTCGACGTAAATTAATTTTCATAAGGCACCATGTTAAGTATGAAATGAAACTGGTTCCCAACGAGGGAATGGATATTTAAAATCTTATTTTCTATGGCCTGATGGATGTATTGGAAAGTTGTGCATACAGGATTTTGGCTGGGAAATCCTTCTTCAAAACGACCACTGGACAGATCTAGAAGGAGATGGGGGTGATAATATCAAGATGGATCTTAGGAAGGTGGGCTTGAGGATTGTGCATGGATGAAGTTGTCTCAGGAACTTTTCCGGTTGTGGGCTATGGTTTTGTAGGTGTTGGATCTGTGGGTTCTGCTACCAGGGATCTAGTTACTGGATGCATTACTTTATGGATAACTTTTCTGAACTAACTGTGTGCATAGACTAATCAGTTACTATATTTAACGAAGCAGTTTCTGACGCACAGTTTTGAGTGTACAGTCATGACGTCAGTCAGTGCATAACCTCACACCTCCGACCTCTCATGACATCATCCAGATCATGCGATATGTCGAACGTTATTGTAGTTTCTGGATGGTGGTGAAGGAAATGGCAGTAACTGGATACTTCTGGTGGCTTGGGGGAACAGACAAGAACATCCTCTGCGCCTTTGGAAGATATCGTTTGCGTTGGAGCTAGCGGTGAAGTGATTGTTGTTGAACAGAGTATGGACCAGGAAATTGGAGTTCTGTTATCTGCTGGACAATAATGAGAGATGAAGACCAGAACAGTTATTTTGATCTTTAAGACCGAACGTCAAGCAAAATTTCAGTTACGTAGAGCTTTTATTTATTTAGTGTTCTGTCTGACGACAGGTCCATATGAACAGGATCCTTCCATCCTTTTCTCGGCCTGGGACCTGTTCATATACGTTCTTGCCAGATGATCCAGAAGTGGTTTGTCATTGCCTTCTTCTGTGTGTGAATGGAGTAATTGTTGGGATGCCACGGAGGAAAACTCCGTTTTGCCTAGACCACGGCCTTGCCCAACACAAGTTATAAATTCGAACCCGAGACCCCAGGATTACAAGGCCAGTGTTCTAACCGCTAGACCACCTCATCTTATTATTATTTAGTGTTCTGTCTGACGACAGGTCCATATGAACAGGATCCTTCCATCCTTTTCTCGGCCTGGGACCTGTTCATATACGTTCTTGGCAGATGATCCAGAAGTGGTTTCCCATTGCCTTCTTCTGTGTGTGAATGGAGTAATTGTTGGGATGCCACAGAGAAACCGGGGAAGCCTCCGGATGAAAACTCCGTGTTTCCTAGACCACGGCCTTGCCCAACACAAGTTAAAAATTCGGGCACCGCCGGGAATCACGTAGAGTAACAAACTGTAATATGAGTGATCAATTTTCATCAGCATGAAGAAGCCACAATTTAGAACTGATCTCGACCAGAATAGCATCGAATGGGTTGGGAAGATAACGGTTGGTTAATACATGAAGATTTGGAAGGAGACGACAGTGGCCAGATTAAATTGACCATTCTCATGGAAGAACTGCGTGACTATGAACAAGCCGTAATCAAGCAGAAATTTGAACTCTGTACTGCCTGAAACCAAATCTGAAAGTTGGGCGTGTGCAACTCGTAATGGGTGCTGCATTGATGTTCCATGCATGAAGTACATTAAGTTAACTAAAATTGGAGATATATGTTTGGCTGTTTGCATGTTTGATCTATCTAATAAATTAGCCCACTCAGTGGATATGTCGGTTAAATTTGATTTTGGGGGCGTGCACACTAAACCTTGTGGGGACGAGTGTTTAATATTTGTTCCTATCGATCCAGTGTAACCCCCTTCTTTATATGAAGCTAATTTCACCGTTGCCAATTCCATTTAAAAAGGCTCTTAAAAACAATGGCGCGTGATATTAAATACTGATCTTTATCTCGCACTTTCTCTTTGAAACATTCCAGGCTGTTTAACAGAGGCATATGTTTATTTTTAATCGCTGCATTATGAATCTTGTATTGTGATTAATTATTTAACTTTGACACATATCAGGATCAAGCTTAGTTATACAACGTCACTGCGAACATACGAGGTGCGATCGGAAAGTTTCAAGACTTCGCCTATAAAAACCCGTACACTTATCTCAGGTATTAAGTTCATCCATCACCCTCGAAGTAGTTCTCCTGGGAGTGAACACAACGATCCCAGCGCCGCTGCCAAGCCTGGAAGCATCCCTGGAAATCTTTCTTTGTCAGCCTGTCAAGCACCATCTGCGATTCTGCCTGAATCTCTTCTATCGTCTCAAATCTCATTCCCTTTAGCTGAATTTTCATCTTTGGGAAGAGGAAGAAGTCACACGGAGCT